GCCATGCCGCGGAGCAGGCGCGGCTCGCGCGCGCGCAGCGCGGCGAGCGCCAGCAGCTGGTGCAGCAGCGTTAGAGGCGTCGTCGGCGCGAGCTGAGACTCCGCCTGGCGCAGCAGTTCTCTGAGAAATGCCCTTTCGCAGGGCGGCACCGCGGCGGCCGGCAGCGGACCATCTGCTGCCAGCACCGCAGCGGCGGCGGCCGCCGCCGCCGCCTCCGCCCGCGACGCCGGGACGCCAGCGGGCGCCGCCGGAGCGAGCACCCGCGGGACCGCGTGCGGCCCCGCGCCCCGCCGCTGCCCGTCCTGCTGCTGCCGCGACTGCTCTTGCTGCAGCGCGTCCCCGCGCCGCCGCCGCGCCGCCCGCAGCCGCCGCTCCTCCGCGAAGAAGCGCAGCACGCGCGCCACGCCCAGCGGCCGCAGCTCTTCCATTTTGAACAGCGCCTCCCTCATGAGCGCCCCGCCCAACCCCGGCCGCAGATCCAGCAGCCCCAGCGCCGGCGCGGCGCCCGCCAACAGCGAGATGCCGTGGCCGCTGAACTTCCAGTGGCGCAGCTCGGCGACGGCCGCCATCGCCGCCGCGGCGGGCGCCGCGGCGGCGCCGCGGTGGCCGACGGCGGCCATGGCCCAGAGCGTCACGGCCAGGGCCTGGGCGCGGAAGTTGGGCGCGTTGACCGCCGCGCGGCGCGCCAGGCAGTCGAAGACGGCTTGCACAACGCCCGGCGGCACCGCGCCGCCCGGCGGTGCTGCGCCGCCGCTGCTGGGGGCTGCGATGTGTGAAAGTGCGGCGTCGTCGGCAGGAGAGCCGCCAGCGCCCCTGCTTCCAACAACCTTGCCCCTGCTGCTGCCGCCTCTGTTGCTGCTGCTGCTGCTGCTGCTGCTGCTGCTGCTGCTGCTGCTGCTGCTGCTGCTGCTGCTGCTGCTGCTGCTGCTGCTGCTGCTGCTGCTGCTGCTGCTGCTGTTGCTGCTGCTGTCGCCGCCGCACTTGCAGCCCTGCTTCGCATACGCCCACGCGATGCAGCTGATGTGGGTCGCATCGAGCCGCGCCTCCAGCCGCGTCACCTGCGGCGCCGCCGCGGCGAGCAGCCGCGCCGCGGGGCGCCGCGCGGCCGCAAAGGCCCACAGCATTGCGGCCAGCTCCCGCGGGCCCGCCTGGGGCAGCTGCGCAACACACGCGTCCTCCAACGCGCCCCACAGGCCGTCGCTGGCGAGCAGCCGCTCCAGCTCCCCGCCGCCGCCGCCGCCGCCGCCCGCTACTTCGCCGCCGCCGCCCCCGTCCGAGCCGCCCGCGCCCGGGCCACCGCTGCCGCCTCTGCTGCAGCGCGTGAGAGCGATGTGCAGCCGCGCGAGGCCCCATGCTGTGTTGGCGACATCAGTTGCATTAACTGCAGGCCCCCGTCGCTGCCTGCCGCCGCCGCCGCCGGCGCCGCCGCCGTCAAGCAGCATCAGGCCGCCCGGCCGCAGCAGCAGCCGCGCGACGACCGCCGCCGCCGCGCGCCGCGCCGCGGGCCCGCGC